AAAATATAAGGAGCACAATCGGTATATGACCTTAAAATATAAGGAGCGCAATTGGTATATTGACCCTAAACAAAAACTTTGTTTTAGGCGCAATTGGTTCATGCCCATAGCGCAGAGCATGTACTACCATTACTAGTAAGTACTATCATTTCTTAACGTCAGCATATTGTTTACTGCGTCATAGCCGATGAAAACCGGAGAACTTGTATTATGTGCGCGTAACGATATAATCCGATATTCGCTCATTCTCGACATTCTCGATTCGTCTCAAACTAATATTAAGTACCACATGAGTAGGGTTTATAAGTTGAAAGAGCTAAAAAAGGCAAAATATATACAAAAAAATTATAAAATATACATTAAAAATGATGTTAAATATGCAAAAAAAAAAAATAATACTGAATTCCAAAAAATAAATAAATAGGTATATTAGATGTTGTTAATAAATTAATAAAATAATATACATAAAACTGTTTATAACTGGTTTTTAATATAATTAAAAATATTTTTCAGTATTTTTGAAATTACAATGAATACTTTTGTATAGAAAATTTTGAATTTTGTATTCAATATTAATTTAAATATACAGGTTAAGAAAGAAAAAAATCATTTTTTTTTTAGAAAAATGTGAATTATGCAATTTTTTTAGCTAAAATTGACAAAATATGTAAGTATTTTGCATTTTAAATTTTCATTTTTTAAACTCTCTATTATACAGTTCACATTTCTAACTTGGTCTACTATAAATTGAAAGTATACAGAATAATATGCAATTCCTACAACTTCTGAGCCTTATACATGAGTATCAAAAGTTTATCAAAGGGCCAATCAGTTTTGAAAACTTAGTTTTATATTTAAAATATTTATTTACATGAAAATTTTTATTTTTTTTTTATATAAAATCTAAGTTTATACCTCTTTGACACAATAATTAAATGTAATTCAAGTAACTAGAATTATATATAAATTACTAGAAAATACATTAATACCCCTAATAAAAGTACGTGCAGACATTTTTGAGGAAAACAGCCACCCATTAATAACACTTTCACTTGATTTTTTCAAATAATTAGTTTGATT